TGACATTAATCTCATAGTTATTGATTTGATTACTTATTTTTCAATTGTTTTTATCGCTTTGTATTTAAAATTTTAAGAAATTCAATTTGTTTATCAGTCAAAAGTCAATTTTGTTCATTATTTGTGAGTTTTATTATAATAAAAACTACGCTTACTATTAGTCAATAAATTCGTTGATTTGTAGTTAATTTTGTTTCAATAATTTTAATTTTTATTAATAGCGAAACCAAAATGAATACATTGTTTTGGTTACGTTACAAAATAGTGTTATTACAAATTCAATACAGTATTAAAACAATTGATTTAATACACAAATTAATATTGGCTTTTAATTTGATTGCATAGAAATGTCATCTGAAAAATGTGACCATAAAATAGCAGATTATATGCGATAAACAGATCTCTCGTATAATTTGCTGTAAATTGTTTGTGAAATATAAAAATGATTTAAAGCTTTTGATTTGGGGCTCGAAAACAATGTTTGTTTCAATTGTAACAAATGCTGTCAAATGTGTTTTGTGTGCATATATTTTGTTTGGCACTTAAATAATTCAATCATTTATACTTTGAATACCACTTAAACAGTATATTTGATTATCGATACAATTAGAGTAAATTTTTGCACTGAAAATACAGTTTAAAATAATTGTATCGTAGATTTGATACAAGGCTTACAAATTAGTTTACATTAAATGCACACAAAATGAATAAAAATATACAATCATTTAAATAACATAGAAATGAATTTGAATTGAAAATCACTGAAAATAACATTTTGAACTCAATTAATGCTCCAATCAATCAAGAGATTCGTTACATTTAAACAACAATTATATTTACGACAAAAATAATAAATGGGTTTAAATTAACAAAATTAATTAAATTTATAGAGGATTTTGGTTGAGTTAAAACAGTAGTCATAATGTAATACAAGAATATTCTGTTGAAAATGAGACAAATGTTTATTTAATGAACGCTTTCCTTAACTAACAATCAATTTAAATATTGAAACACATGTGTCGAGAGAGTGTGTGTATTATATAATAAGTGTTACATTTAAAGTGGTATTAATGGTAAAAACAAATTGAACGCTAAAACAGAGATATAATTTAATGACTAAATACAATACATTATTTATTGATTGTAATGTACAATACATTAATGAATTGCTTTAAAAGAGAATAATATTAATTACAATGAAATGTCATATAAAGGAAAAGGACATCAAAATGAATTGGATAGTTGTCTACGAAAAACAAAACTACAATTAATTAAACAAATTTATAATCAATTAGTTTATATGAAAATCAAAAGCAAAACGACAAATGAAACCAAATGGAAAATCATATGAAAGAGAGGGATGTGTTTAAACCAACTCATTGTTAGTGCCGGCCGGCGGTGGCGGAGCGTCAGCTTTCTTCGCCGGTTTGCTCTGATCCTTGTCTTTGTTGAAGAAGAAGAAGCGATGGGCCGCTCCGGCCAACGCACCCCCGGCTAACGGCCCGATCCAATACACCTGTCAATCCATACAATAAGCATAATTACTTTATTTATTATACATTTGTGTTTAGTAATTAGTAATTAATCAAGTTTTATTTCTCTCTATAGAAGTTTTAATTGCAACTAATTAATTTTGCCCCTAATGTGTGTTATTTTTAACTATTTTATTCAAAACAATGAATGTAAGTTATCGTATGGGTATTTAAATAGGATTCTGTATTGCATTTCTCAATTCAAATGTGTGCAGTATTTATGTAAACTAAATTGACATTGAAATGATCCAGAATTTGCAATTTATTTTTAAATATTAAGTTAGTTATAGACATAAACTTCTTATTAGACTGATTTTCTGGTTGTTTATTATTATTTCTTATAAACGAAAACTTTATTTGCATTAAACGCACGCATAATATACCGAAAAGTAACTATTTTGATACCCAATAGTCGTGACTAAAACCACATTTCAACGCAAATGTAAACCATATTCACATTTATTTCACACATAAAATAATCTTTTATTAAACCTAATAAACACTAACGAAGAAACTTAACATTTTANTATACCGAAAAGTAACTATTTTGATACCCAATAGTCGTGACTAAAACCACATTTCAACGCAAATGTAAACCATATTCACATTTATTTCACACATAAAATAATCTTTTATTAAACCTAATAAACACTAACGAAGAAACTTAACATTTTAACACATTTTCGAGGTTTACATCGAGAGCCAAAATAAACACAATATATAACTAATTATTTAATCAATTAATCAAATGCTGACTTAAAGTAATGTCAAGTATTTCCATAGGGTGTTAAAAATTGCACAAAATCTCATAAATAGATTGTCTATTAGTAGAGAGAGAGAGAGAGAGAGAGAGAGAGAGAGAGAGAGACCGGACTAAAAGTGACATTCCTTGTAGTGTTTATAATTAAATAAAATTTATATCATGTTATTTATGAACCATTGGTTGTTTAACATAAGAATTTTATATTTAACGTTAAAACGGGTTATTTATTGATAGGATATGTAAATGTGTAGCAATCAATTGACTGACAATTACTTAAGCGGTTATTTCATTGATAAGTTATTTTGTTATTAGCGTGAGTTGAATGAGTTAAATGAAAATCATTTTCTTATTAACTAATTAATTATTACATAGTTATTGTATGTTTTTTTAATCACAACTTTGTTTTACAAATATGTATCAATTGTTTGCCAACTTTGATGACAAACTATCGAGATATTTAATAATGAATGAATTCTTTGCATGAACTTCTTAATTTCTTGAAAACTCTTTCATTAATCAATTTTCTTACTAAATAGTAAATGATAAACAATTATCAGGAAATTGTCTCATAATTATATCCCTTTTAACACTAAACTTGTAATTAATTTGATTTACAATACATATTATTTATTAAAATTATGCAAGTTTTAAATGGAAAAATCATTGCATAACTGTTTTTAATATAAGTGTCAAACATTTAATGCTATTTAAAACAATAATGCAATTGTTGTGCGAAAACACACATCAAATGATTAAATGAAATCACAACAAATCTAAAAAACAGATATAAATCACGACATTTAAGAGATAACTCGCGATAACTTTGTTTCTACGACAAAGAGTGTCAATAAATGATTGGTTAATTAAATTAAAAATGTCGCAAAAATAAGTAATTAATTAAACAAAACACGTTAAAATGAAATACAATACATAGTACTTACGGCAAGCAAGTGGCCGACCGTAACGGTGAGGCCGATGGCCAGCGGAGCGAACGTGGGGTTAGACTCGCAGACATTGCACACCACAAACACCAATAGGAAAGTGATGAACGCCTCGAGGACTACGGCAGCGACGGGACCGTTGATCAATGTCTCGGTGAGTTTGGTCTGGCACAGGTCTCGGTTGCTCTCGGTTTTCATGAAGTATAGTATAGACGCCCCTAAGACGGCGCCCAAGAACTGTGCGATCCAATAGACCACTGCCTTCAATATGTCAATCTGGCCGTCGATGAGTACGCCCAGAGTGACCGCCGGATTGATGTGACAGCCGGACACGTGACCGAAACTGCTGGCCAGTGCCATAATGACCAGACCGAAGATCAGCGCCACACCCATTAGGGTCA